GGATCCCTGGTGTTCTGGTGGGTAATCCCTGGTGGTCCAGTGGTAGGAGTGAACTCTAGCCCGCGCTCCAGGGCTAGAGTTCACTCTCGCAAGATTTGGAGCGTTGCCATGGTAACCGCGGCAACGCTCTGTGCTCGCGAGAGTTGGACCTGGAGGAGCTGCAGCGCTGAGCTCCCGGGTCCTCTCTCTCTCCCCTGCCAGCTGCCAGCACGGTGCCTGCGGACCGGAGAGATCTCTGATTTCCCTCCCTGGCCGCAGGCACATTGCAGGGCTGGCACATGGACAATGCCAGCCCTGAAGTAGCCGGCAGGGGAGAATCTCGGGGGGGGGGGCAATTGCCCCGTTCGGATCTGCCACTGGGCTCTGGAGGGCTGGACTTGCTGGAGGGGGACTGCCTGAGTTGTCATGCAGTCCCCCAGAAATGGATCGCCAGGCTGGTGAGTATTTTGGCCACTCAAGTCACTATATTGTTCTATGCCTCCGCACTGGCTTTAAAGCCCATTAAAATGCAGACGGCATAGAACACTGTAACGGCGTTAAGGGGTTAATGTGCTGATAAATCTTATCCAAAATGATTATGATTTAAGCTCAATAGTCAAGTGTATATGGCTCTTTTTTCTGAATAAAAGTGTGGATTGTGATAGCATCAACATTGTTAAATGATGCACAAATAAAAAATAAAAAAAAGTAAATAAAATCACTCTTTAGTACATATATCCCAAATAAAAACATGCATGCATTTAATTATGCATTTTTTCTAAGTTGCCATATTTCTTGGAAAAAATTACTTGCCATGCTAATTTGCATAATTAATTATATATGCATGACATCACAAGAACCTGAGATCACAGGGAGTGACACAACTGATCGCTCTCAGCCAGTCAGCAAGGGCGGCACTCCGCTCTAACTGTAAGTGAAAATTCTGAAGCCAGATGAAGTTGGCCGAATACCTTTAGGCCCTGTGGCTTTGTTTACATTAACTTTCTTCAGTTGCTGCAGCACCTTGTCTCAAGTCATCCAATCACACGTTCTCTGCAAGTTTTGTACAGCAATCATTTGCATACCTCTTGTCATAGGTTCCTGTTTAATATATACTTAGGAAAAATAGTAATTTCAAATCTCTGCCTTTTGCTGTATTCATTAACTAACACCTCCATCTATGATTTTCTGTGCCTACACGTACATTTTTTATTTTTCAGCATTTATACACTAATTTTCTAGTTTAGCCCATCTAATCATATTTATGCATGCCATTTTGGCTTCCTTAATATACTTCTGATTGTTTGATTTAAATGCCCTTTTCTTATTTTTGGGGGGTTTACTTTTCCACTAAGCCACATTGATTTCAGTTTGTTTATTTTATATTTATTACCTAATAGTATATACTGAGAAGTGTAAATTACATTGCTGTATAAATATTTTGTTACTCAATTTATTCTCAGTGGTTTTTTTTCACCAAAGAGTTTATGCCAGAGAATGAGTTCTAAAGCTGCCATTATTTTATTGAGATTAGCCTTTTTAAAATAATGTTTTAGTATATCCAATACGCGTTTTCTTTTTTATTTCACAGCATATTGTGCTGACTAATAACCAAGTGCTACCTTGCTTGAATGTTTGACAAAAGACCAACCAGATGAACCAGATTCAGTCAAGCATCCTTTCTAGTTAATGCTTCTAATAATTATGACATTATAACAGATTGAAAAGCATGATTTCCCTTGCGGAACTACCAGTCCAACTGTCCCATTTTATGTTCTGTAATTGAAATGTCCAATAATTAAAGTGTTAAAGTAATTAAAGTGTACCCAGGTGTACAGCTTTCCCAATTTGCTTTAACAGATGGTTTTCTTCATCAATATTAATATTAGGTGCTTTATAGCATATCCCAACTAACAACTGATTTCCCTTCTTTTGACCCAAAATGCTTTCAGTTCAGCTGATCTGGCCACTGTAGCCATTTAGCAGAACATCAACATTGCACTAAACACACTGTCACTGGCTGTTAAATAGATATATCCCATTTGAATGTTACTTGCCACCTCAAATCATGTGTAATGTTTAGCTTAAAGGAAGACTGTCGGCACTGTAAATGCTTCATCCCATTGTAGTAGTTGTAGTGCCTGATACTGTCCAGTGCAAAACTATATTTAATGCTAAACAAGGGTTCCAGCAGCTCATCTCATCTGTGCTGCTAGGGCTAATTTGTAAGCGTTAGTCTAAGTAGCAATGGGCACATGTGAGAGTGTCTGCTGACAGCATTGACATTGCAAACATGAATTGGTATGGATACAAGGTAGTGTGCAATCACTCCAGTGGAGGCGGGGATAGGGGAAACCAGGAACTCTATAGGCACCCAGATCACTTCATCTTAGTGACGTGGCATGGATGCCATGCCCTGTTGTTTTAACCCTGTAACTGATAACATTGCTGTTCAACAGTATTAAAATTCCTCTAGTGGCTGTCAGAAAGATCACTGCTGCAAGAGAGAAAAGGTGAATAAAAGTACTTTTTTACACCATTCTAGGGGACAGGCTGGTAAACCTAAACATGTAGTCAACACTATAAGCATTATGAATGCAAACATGAATTCCTAATACTATGATGTTCTTTTAAGTGTTAAGCTGCTCGAAAATGGTTTAGCACTGAATGGAGGGACTCCAGGCCCTATAACCAATTCAATGAGATGGAATGTTTATAGGTTCTACAGTAACCCATATTAATGAGCTTAAATTGGCATCATCTGTGAATGTGTGAAGTGGTGCAATCCCCACTAATAGATATTGTTCCTTCAGGTGTCCTAAGCGTAGAGGAGGCTCTGGTTTTATTTTTCATATATCTACTTACCTGCGACATTCCAGACACATCTCCCATTACCATTCTAAGTTATGTCACTATTGGCCAGGGAAGAGAGACTCTTGGCTATCAGGGTGTTTTGCTGCCTACCTTACTCCACTAGCTCAATTGACAGTCTGTGTTTTATTGTTTGGTAGTTTATATTCTCACTTTAGTAAGCATACCTGAGAGTGTTGTGATAAATTATTTTTTAGATTGTTAGCTTCTTTAGGTAGGACCTCTTCAACTACTGTTCCTGTATGTCAAACGTGTTTTGTTAGAATTGTTTGACTTTTACCTTTTGTACAATGTGGCAGAAAATGCTTGTGCTATATAAATAATTGTGATTCAAAGTGAAGTTTCAAATATATGGTCAAAATAGCCCAACTGAAAAAATCTCTAAGACAGCTGTGTTTTCATGTCAGCTACTCTAGCCTTCAACTTTGAAATTCACTTTAACATTTCACTTTAGAAAATAAACCTGTTGTTTTATGTTATGCATTGTATTACTTGCACCAAGATGCAAGGTAGAAGGGAGTCAGTAGCATTCAGAGGGAAAGGAACAAGCTCCAGCTCAATAATTGTTAGTGTCTACTTGTGGTTCTATATTGACTGATTGCCTAAGGGAAGAAATAAAAAGATTTTGGCAAAGGTGACTTAACAAGAGCCATTTTACTCACCTTATTCCAGTGGCAAGTGAATCATCAGGGCTCAAAATTTCCAAATAAATATGCAAGTACAAATAGCTCTCTGGCAACCAGTCTACTAATAGGACTTTAGGAAGAACAAGAGGTCCTCCATTTAGTTTCAATAATCACCAGATGGTGATTACTGGTGACCAGTAGTCACCATCACCGGGAGCAGAAGGACTCCGGGAGCAAAGGTTCCTAAATTATTCCTATGTCTAAGTACCCATTATAGGTGCAGGGTTATAATGTGTTTTTATATCGTTAATTGTTTTTTGTGCTCTCCTGTCCTGCTGATGCTTGTTACCAACTTGTGGATTTTTTCTATGGAGCCTGTATAGCACCATCTGTAGGTAGTAGCAGCAATATGCGGTACCTGAATAGAAAGGCTGTTTAATTTTAAATATTCAGGTAGATTTGCATATTGCTAATTCTGCAGGCAGGAGGGATATTTTGTGTTGGTTATTGACTTCCCCACCCCTTTGTTTTAAATAGGTTTTTATTTAGTTAGTTTCGTTATAAACTGCAAATGAGAAGGGAGTGGATTTTTTGCGTCATCGCCTACGCAGAGGCTCAGCCCAGCATATTCTGATGGAATTGCATGTGCCTTGGCAGAGGCCAAGTATAGCTTTATAATATATTATCAACATCAGTTTGTCACATGTATTCAGGTTCTGATCAGCGTATATGTATTATAAGCTATCCTGTGTGACTATCCTATATTATTCGTTACTCGGTGTATAGGCATCCGGTACAGTCCCGCGTGAGTCGTATGGTCACAGTCGGTGCTGCATCAGCTGTGTATAGACTTGTTAATGTTGTATAGCTTGGGCTGCTTATGTGTCTAAATGGGGGCCCGGTTTGTGTTTTCCGAGCCATTGCTGTTCATGTGCAGGTGCCTGTGTTGGTGAGGCGTTTGTGTAGTTGCTCATTGCATTGTGAGTGGCTCTGCTGTTCTGAATTGGGGCATGTCGGGTGTGGATATCCCTTTCTTGGCTGTGTTGGATTACTTGTGTGAATGTGGTCAAAGGGTTATGTGTCCCTGTAGGCTACGTGTGTATTGTGGTGTATGTCCATCGTCTGGTGGGATCGCGGGTGCTGTGGTCTGAGTCGTCGGTTCCCCACCCCTTTGTAGATATGTTATTGTGTTATTATAATTCCCTGTATGTTTTCTGATATGTATATATTTTTTGAATTTTAATATGTTTGGCACAGCAATCTTAATGTAATGATCATATATGTGCTAGTCCAAAGAAAAATAAAGCTTTGCATGTCAGTTCCTTTTGGAACTTGTGTCCTGTGTGGATTTTTAGGGATTCCAGTGACAGAGTCTTCGGACCTGTTTGCTGGCTGCAGGATCTCTCTAGCCCTGGGATAAATCAAGAGAGCTAGGCCTGAGAGCAAAGAGTGCCTTTGTAAATGAAATAGCAAGCACTATATGTAGTGAGCAGGCAAAACACGTTTCTTTTATTTCTTATGGGATTCATATTCAACTGTAGGTTATAACAGAATGGCACAATCATAAAACAAAACATGGCAACAAAGAAAACAAATTAAATGACCCCTTTTCAAAAGTCTGCATACCCTTAGTTCTTAATAGTGTATTGCCCACTTTAGCATCAATGACAGCGTGCAGTCTTTTGTAATAATTGTCATTGAGGCCCCTAATTCTCGCAGGTGGTATAGCTGCCCATTCATCTTGGCAAAATGCCTCCAGGTTATGCAAAGTCTTTGGACGTCTTGTATGAACTGCATATTTGAGATCTCCCCAGAGTGGCCTAATGATATTAAGGCAGGAGACTGTGATGGCCACTCCAGAACCTTCACCTTTTTCTGCTGTAACCACAGGAGGATCCACTTGGCCTTGTGCTTAAAATCATTGTCATGCTGGAAAGTCCCAGAGTCTGACAGTATTTTCTCATAACATGCTGTATTCATCCTGCCATCAATTTTCACAATATACCCCGTGCCTTTAGAGCTCACATCCCCCCAAAACATCAGTGACCCACCACCATGATTCACACTGGGGATGGTATTCTTTTCACTATAAGCCTTATTGACCCCTCTCCAAATATAGCATCCTGTATTTCTCCTGAGGTTACCTGTGGGTTTTTCTTTGTATCCTGAACAATTCTTCTGGCAGCTGTTGCTGAAATCTTTTTTGGTCTATCTGACCTTGTCTTGGTATCAAGAGATCCATGAATTCCCACTTATTAATAAGTGATTGAACAGTAATGACTGCCATTGGTATGAAAAGATCCCAGAATGTTCCACTTCTTTTTTTGTTTTTTAATTCCTTTTTTTTGCAGGTAAGCATAAACATCTAATTGCATCGAATGAAGATAGGTTATCCATCATAGGCTATACATTTCAACAGAAGTCCTCAACACATCATTGTCTACACCCTAATTTTTTATTTTTTTCACACTTAGATTCCTCAAAACTATGGACTGGAGGTTGCTAGCTAATAGCGCTCGCGCCCACATTAACTGATATTATTAACGGTCATGACGGAGGGTAAATGTGCTTAAGGCGCATGGAGGTGAAATATAAAGTGTGGTGTAAGGTTTGGTAATAGCCAAACCTCCTGTGGCGTTCAACCTGGAAATTGTAGTGCCGACTAGGCCGGCTGGTATATGTGCAGTATAGTGCTCGTGCGGTGGCAGAGAAGAGGGGCACATAGAGATACATGGGGAGGGGAGGTAAAAACTGGGCATGGTGACTTGCTGTCGGCTTATGGAGCCAGAGGAGAAGTAGTGGTCATTGTTAAAGACAAATCAAGCAAAAAATTTAAGGCAAACTGGAACATTAGTGAAATAAAACAGAAACAAGCAGAACATGAGTGGTATCTCAGGCAGCAGTGATTGCTGGTTCATGTGGGCAAGTCGGGTGGTCTTGATCTTGCGCATCTTGGCACAAAGGGATTAATGTTTGTGACAGTCCATGTTGGACGAGTGTCCGCTGGAACAAAAAAAGAATCCAAACAACTTTGTGATAATAAATGGCTTCATATGATCACTATTCCTCAATGAAATAGTCATATTTTCAAAATCAATGCAAAAATTTTAAAATTTCTGCCAGGATATGCAAACTTTTGAGCATAACTGTAGATGTGATTTTTTTTTTTTCTTTCATTTTGTGCAGAAGTAGTCTTTGCAGATTCCTGGAGAGATGTAAAAATAAAACATTTTTAAAATAGAATATTCACGTTTATAATTAGGAATTCATATATAGTTAATTAATACGTGGGCTTATATTGTTAATACAAGGAGAAGTCACATTTTCTTAAAGGATCACTATAGTGCCAGGAAACAAACTTGTTTTCCTGGCTCTATAGGGTCTTTAGACCCCCCCCCTCAGGGTCCCACTCCTGCCGGTCATTGTTAATCACTTACCTTTCTCCAGCGCCGGGCTCCCTCGGCGCTGGGGAAATCTCCTCCTTCTTCCGACGTCCCTCTTTTCAATGCTTTCCTATAGATGGCAGGGTCTTCTCACTGTGATTTTCACAGTGAGAAGCACGGAAGCGCCTCTAGCGGCTGTCAATGAGACAGCCACTAGAGGCTGGATTTACCCTAGTGTAAACATAGCAGTTTCTATAGCAGGTTTAAAACTCGATGGACCTGGCACCCAGACCACTTCATTAAGCTGAAGTGGTTTGGGTGCCTATAGTGGTCCTTTAAGTAAAGGAGTATATTTTTTACTCTCTTGTGCAACAGGAAATTGCTTGAAATTGTATTTTGCTCCACTCTCCTGCCCCCACTTTCTTTTGGTTCAGTACCGGAAACTGAGATGTGTTAAAAGCTGATCAGAACGCTACTACAGCATTTGGATCTGTTTTATGGAATTTCTTTATTTAAAAGAAAAAAAGATCTAGGGCTTAATTTATTTTTTTAATTTCCACTTTTTCTATTGTATGTATTATTATTATTATCAACATTTATATAGCGCCAACAGATTCCGTAGCGCTTGTGTACTAAATATGTTATAAAAATATTGAAGTTCCAATAGAAACAATGTATAAGATTTTCGAATGCTTAAAGGGACACTGTAGTCACTATAAGCATTTCATCTCTTTGAATTGGTTATAGTGCCTGGAGTGCCCTGGCATTGTCCCTCCATTCAGTGTAGAACCATGTTCGTGCAGTATGCCACAAAATAAGAGTCCCTGGCCACCCACAGTCCGGTCCCTTCAGTATGTGTAGCGAAGGCAGAGATTACACACTTCCTTGTTGTCATACCCATTCATACCGTCAGTTGGAACTCTGACAGGCTAAAAGCAGTCAGCTGACACTCTCAGCCAATCACAGCTGCCCATTGCTGCTCAGGCTAATACTTCCGTATTAGCCAAAGCAGCACAGAGGGGATGGATTGCCGGGGACTCTTGTTTAGCATTAAAACTTTAAAAACTGTTTAATGCTGATAGAAATTATGGGACCAGAGGAATCCAGACACTATAACCAGTTTAATGAGATGAAGCAGATACAGTGCCTACAGTGTCCCTTTAATGTAAAAGTGAACATTTCTGGATTCAGTACATAGCAAAATGTTATAAATAGTCTAGCATCCTATATGCACAAAATGGCTAACTAGCATGACACTCAAAGGGTTTAGGCAATGTTTACAGTCAGGCTAAATGTCTCACTAATGATCTCATCAAGAGTGCAATTGAGTCTTACCTTTTCCAAATGACATCTCTGTTGTGTAAACAAGGTGATATCCTATTCTTGTGAGTCATGATGTTGAGCAGATTACAGTGCATTCCTCGACAAAATCTTCCTCTTTTAATTCTGCAATAGCTGCAAATGTTACACATTGTTACTTAAAAACTAATGACACATAGATGACAGATGACACATCACTGGTGCATTTAATACTATCATCGTGGATCAATTCTTGACATTACCAGTAGTTTTGATATTCAAAGCTAGCACCAAATACACCTTTCTGCAGGTTACAAACATCTATGAACTGTTAAACATTTAACCACATAAGAAGGGGGGGAAGGAAACAAACAAAAAATATTTAGTCTTCTGCCTTGTCTCCTATTCAATCAGAAAATCCTCTAAATCAGTTATGCTTTAAGTTTGGCCTAAAATTCAGCCCTAGTGAATGATCCCAGAAATTATGTGATTAAAGTGTTACACTATCTTATGTTAATAAAGTCTCTTCTATGTGCAAACAGTATTAAAGTGACCACAATTAAAATGTATAAAACTACATAATATATGCAATTTCAGGTCTTCAATGTGATCCCTTTGACCTGTTTTTTTGTACTTCTCTACCAATTAACTGGAAACGGCAAATAAGTAATTAATCAAACACTATAGGGTCAGGAATACAAACGTGTATTCCTAACCCTATGGTGTTAAAACCACAATTTAGGTGGTCGGCCCCCTTTAAAAAGCTGTAAAATTCACTATTATACCAACCTGCACAGATCTTCCTCCTTGGCTGAAATTATCAGTATTGGCGATCTCAACCAATACAATGCTTTCCTATGGGAAAACATTGGATTGGCTGAGAATGGAAATTCTGATGATCTCAGCCAAGGAGGCGAGGCACGGACAGAGCCCAACACCGCCCTGGCCAATCAGCATCTCTTGATAGAGATGCATTGAATCAATGCATTTCTGTGGGGAAATTTTAGCGTCTCCAGCGTGGAGACACTGAACGTCAGTGTTTTACATTGTGCAGCATTGGCCCAGGAAGCACCTCGAGTGGCAGTTTAAGCTTGAAAAGGCAGTGTTTACAGCAAAAAGTCTGCAGGGACATAGTACACACACCAGAACAACTACATGAAGCTGTTGTTGTTCTGGTGACTATAGTGTCCCTTTAAAAATGCTAGGAATTATTTTGGTTTCACTAGTTTTTGATTACTAACTAAATTACCAGAGTACACTTCTATATATCTTATACAGTTGCAAGAAAAAGTATGTGAACTTTTTGGAATGATTTGGATTTCTGCACAAATTGGTCATAAAATGTGATCTGATCATCATCTGAGTCACAACAATAGACAATCACAGTCTGCTTAAACTAATAACACACAAAGAATGAAATGTTGCCATGTTTTTATTGAACACACCATGTAAACATTCACAGTGCAGGTGGAAAAAGTATGTGAACCCTTGGATTTAATAACTGGTTGAACTTCCTTTGGCAGCAATAACTTCAACCAAACGTTTCCTGTAGTTGCAGATCAGACGTGCACAACGGTCAGGAGTAATTCTTGACCATTCCTCTTTACAGAACTGTTTCAGTTCAGCAATATTCTTGGGATGTCTGGTGTGAATCGCTTTCTTGAGGTCATGCCACAGCATCTCAATCGGGTTGAGGTCAGGACTCTGACTGGGCCACTTCAGAAGGCGTATTTTCTTCTGTTTAAGCCATTCTGTTGTTGATTTACTTCTATGCTTTGGGTCATTGTCCTGTTGCAACACCCATCTTCTGTTGAGCTTCAGCTGGTAGACAGATGGCCTTAAGTTCTCCTGCAAAATGTCTTGATAAACTTGGGAATTCATTTTTCCTTCGATGATAGCAATCCGTCCAGGCCCTGACGCAGCAAAGCAGCCCCAAACCATGATGCCCCCACCACCATACTTCACAGTTGGGATGAGGTTTTGATGTTGGTGTGCTGTGCCTTTTTTTCGCCACACATAGTGTTGTGTGTTTCTTACAAACAACTCAACTTTGGTTTCATCTGTCCACAGAATATTTTGCCAGTACTGCTGTGGAACATCCAGGTGCTCTTGTGCAAACTGTAAACGTACTGCAATGTTTTGTTTGGACAGCAGTGGCTTCCTTTGTGGTATCCTCCCATGAAATCCATTATTGTTTAGTGTTTTACGTATTGTAGATTCGCTAACAGGGATGTTAGCATTTGCCAGTGACTTTTGTAAGTCTTTAGCTGACACTCTAGGATTCTTCTTCAACTCATTGAGCAGTCTGCGCTGTGCTCTTGCAGTCATCTTTACAGGATGGCCACTCCTAGGGAGAGTAGCAGCAGTGCTGAACTTTCTCCATTTATAGACAATTTGTCTTACCGTGGACTGATGAACAGCAAGGCTTTTGGAGATACTTTTATAACCCTTTCCAGCTTTATGCAAGTCAACAATTCTTAATCGTAGGTCTTCTGAGAGCTCTTTTGTGCGAGGCATCATTCAAATCAGGCAATGCTTCTTGTGAAAAGCAAACCCAGAACTGGTGTGTGTTTTTTATAGGGCAGGGCAGCTGTAACCAACACCTCCAATCTTATCTCACTGATTGGACTCCAGTTGGCTGACATCTCACTCCAATTAGCTCTTGGAGATGTCATTAGTCTAGGGGTTCACATACTTTTTCCACCTGCACTGTGAATGTTTACATGGTGTGTTCAATAAAAACAATGCAACATTTCATTCTTTGTGTGTTATTAGTTTAAGCAGACTGTGATTGTCTATTGTTTTGACTTAGATGATGATCAGATCACATTTTATGACCAATTTGTGCAGAAATCCATAACATTTCAAAGGGTTCACATACTTTTTCTTGCAACTGTATATAGTTATTTTTATGTTTATAATTCAAAGGAAACAATGTCAGGGATTTTAGTGCCTATAAAACTGACTGTAAGAAAGAATAGTTGTTGTTTACTAGGTTATATTCAGAGAATGATGGGTTATAGACATAGGCGTGCGCACAGGGTGTGCCGGGTGTTCCTGGGCACACCCTAATCCACGTGACCCACACTATGTGCCTCCCTCCTACCCACAGGCAATGAGGGAAGCAGGAGAGGACCTGAGCAACTCTTGCCAGCAGCTCCGCCGGGTTCCTCTCGCGAGGTCGGAGTGTTGCCACGACCACTGGACCACCAGGGATGGCAGCACGGTCCCCCCTCCCTACAAAAGGTAAGAAGGTGGGGGGGCTATTAACTAAATGGTCCCCCCATCCCCACACAATACACACACACAGCACCCTTACATACACAGCGCCCTCAAACACACAAACACAGCAGTATATATGTGTGTGTATGTGTATGTGTATGTGTGTATATATATATATATATATATATATATATATATATATATATATATACATACATACACACACT